GGTGGCTCACCTGTAATCCGAGCACTTTGAGAGGCCGAGGCGGGCAGATCACAAGGTCAGGAGTTTGAGACCAGCCTGGCCAACATAGTGAAACCCTGTCTCTACTAAAAATATAAAACAATTTGCCAGGCGTGGTGGCATGCACCTGTAATCCCAAGTACTTGGGAGGCTGAGGCAGGAGAATCTCTTGAACCTGGGAAGTGGAGGTTGCAGTGAGCCATGATCACACCATTCATTGCACTGCAGCCTGGGCAACAGTGAGAGGCTCAGTCTCAAAAAAAAAAAAAAAAAAAAAAAGCAAGCATATATACATGTTTATACATGCATAAAATATCTCAAAGAATATACAGCGATTGTATAAATGGGTTCCCATGTTGGGGGTAGGGAGGGCATTCTTTCTCATTACGTACTTATACTTTCAGATTTATTTACTTTAGCCACTCATGGGTTTTAAAATTTGCATTTTTCTAATGACTCATGCTAAGCATCTTTTCAATATGCTTCAATATGCTTATTTGGTAGCTATTCTATTCAGTTATTCTGCTTTTTATTTTTACTTTTTAGAGATGCTCAGGATGGAGTGTAGCGACTACTCACAGGCGTGATCATGGCTCACTACAGCCTTGAACTGCTGGGTTCAAGCAATGGTGTAAGCAAAGCAGTGGTTAGAGGGGTAAGCCATAGTAGCGGCCCTTCCAGAACCTTCTTGTCTTTTGCGTTTACCTTGACTTTCTGCCAGTCTCAAGATCTAGCTCTGGAATAGGCTATGCTTTAAAGGCTTTTGAGAAGCCCATAAACAGGAGGGTTAGGTTTTGGGGGTTTGTGGGTTTTTTCCTGTATATTGATGTATTCTACTGAGAATATCAACCTCTGAACTAGACAGCTGCTAAGGTAGAAATCCTAACTTAATTATTTGCATTTAATAATGCAATGATGTTGCAATGAATGTTTGTGGGACTGTGAACCCTGAATATTTGAGACAGGTCTCAGTTAATTTAGAAAGTTGGCCGGGCGCGGTGGCTCACGCCTGTAATCCCAGCACTTTGGGAGGCTGCGGCGGGTGGATCACGAGGTCAAGAGATCGAGACCATCCTGGTCAACATGGTGAAACCCCGTCTCTACTAAAAATACAAAACATTAGCTGGGCATGGTGGCGCGTGCCTGTAATCCCAGCTACTC